AAAGAGTCCCCTGGAGACCACTGCCATTTACTTCAATTGCTAACCACTGCAGTCACCCACGGATGCTGCTCCTGGGGACGAGGCTGTGGTCCCTGTCTCTATCCTCTGTCTTCCAGCCACCGAGGACTTGGAAATATACACCGTGAAATCTCTGCCCCTCATGGTGAAGGTGCCCGCAGACTTCTGAGAGTCCTCGGTATAAAGACTTACTCCTGTAAAGATCTACAAGAGATTCTCTGCCTTGTGCCACACAAAAAAGGACAAATAATGGGGAAGAGGAATAGTAGACCCAATGCTTTGACAAGAATCCAGCTACCAGGCTAATCAAGTTGGAGGGCGGAGAGAGATCTGGCATGACTCCAGTGTTGGCCTCATCTAAACAGGATCTCTCCAACAAATCACAAATACCTAGAAAAGTCTACCTTATTTCATTCCCCCAAATCAAAATAATAACTTAAAAGATCTCAAAGTCTGCACAGTACTAGCATTTATTCATTCCATCACCATATTACAGACACCCTATTTTGAACTGGATCTAGAAAATTAACGCCAAGATTCTCTCTGATTTCCAAAGTTTCACATTCACTGGGGAATTCCAAGAGAATCCTTTACTGTTCACTTCAACACTCTCACCTAATTCGGTCTCACAGCGGGCCACACCCTCCTCTCACACTTCCTCCTTCAAGACACCAGGACACCACACTCCCCGGGGTTCCGCCTATGGCACTGGAGCTTTGTAGGATCTTCCTCCCTTTTCTACTCTGAATGTCATCTCACTGGGCTTGATCTGGCATTCCTTCTCTCTTACTCAGTAATCTCACCTCTTTCAAGGCTTAACTACATCCAGGACTCCAAAGTTTTTACCTCCAGATTTAACTTTTCTGTTCAAATTACTATCCTGGAGCTGCCAATCTGACACCTCCATGTAACTGTCTCACTTTAAATTTAGGGTACCTGCAACTAAACTGTTGTGTATCTGTCCCCACCAGCTACACCCAAACCTACTCCTTCCTTAGAATCCTACATCTCAATATGTAACTCTACCATTTACCCAATTGCTCAAGTCACTCCCCCTCCTTCCCTCGCCACATCCCATCCGTCGGCAAATTCTGTCCATGTTATCTCTAAACACACCCACACCTACCCACTCCTCTCTATTTCCACAACTGCCACCAATAGCCTCCTTCATCAACATTCCAAGCTCTTGGTTTTCTTCAGGGTAAAGTTCTCCAGTGGAAATAACAGGAACCGCTAAGTATTACTCAGAGCTTACCGTACACCATGCTGTGCACTGGCTGCCCTCTGCCATGTGATCCTCTAAACCACCAAATGAGAAAACAGGCCCGGAGGAGTGAAGTCACACCCCAGAGCTGTACATCGATCAGTGGTGGCTGCCGGACCCCACAGCCCCTGCATTTGACTATATTGTCACAATGATCATTTCAAAGCGTCACACTGTTGGCCTTGGAGAACAGAACTGATTTAGCATTTCTGCACACCCCATCCTACCAAACAAAGGTGAGTGAAATGGATGAGACTGTAGGTGCATCCGTTGAAAGAATTAGCACAGTGTTAAGGTCGCTGCCAACAAAAGTTGTTTAGTTTCTCTCAGAGCTACAATGGCAGCAAGAGGACTGCACCTCTTAGAGCCTCAAAACTTTTCCCTACGTCCCTATCTTCTCATTGCTGACTGTAACCTCAATCTTTAAATACAGCTGTCAGGTTGCCACTGTAGGCCTGACAATGAAATTCAAAATTCATAGGAGACCTCTTTTTAGTATTTCAATAGTATTTGCTTCTTCACTTACGCAAAGAGACGAAGAAAAAATGCACTTTTGCTTTTACCCTTAGTCAACAGTCTAATTTATTACAAAGAAAACAGGTGGAAAGAAGAAGGTCAATCTACAAATGCTAGTGATTAGACTAACAATTATGAAACCCTTCACCAGTATTTGTTTTTCCGTCTGCAGTGTTCTGGTTGAACATTGTGATTCTTGGATCAGTCATTTCCATCCGTGTTTGGGTTTGCTCAGTCTCCCCAGTTGGTGTGTGCATGCGTGTGCGCTCTTATTCCATCCCCACTCGCAAAGGGCTTAGAGCCAAAATCTGATCCTCTCAAGCTGAAAAGGCTGGCTGGGCGAGTCATGTGTAGCCCAGCTAGGGAGCTGGGAACTCTGGATCCCTTCTCCGTGTGGCGCGGATGCCAGCTTCCCAGTCTCACCCTGCAGTGCAGCCAACATCTGGGAAACATAAAATTCTGGAGTTCTTGTTTGTGATACTTCCTGCTGTGCTCCTGGCACAACTGAACACACTGACTTTTTAACTCATATCTGAACACTTGCTTTTATTGAATATTTGCCTTTTCTCCCTATGGTGGGCTTGCTAGCGATACCCCTGAATAAAAGGATTCTTTATACATTTTATGGACTATTGTTACATCTATCCTTTGCTTAATCTCAGCCTTGTTTTAGCATTTACAACACTCTCCTCCTAACAAAAACTCAGTCATGAATTTACATCTCCATAACAAACAGCTGACCCACAACTCTGAGAGAAGACATGTAAAAGAGCATGTTAGAGGGCGTCCATTTTATAGCAATATGTTGATAAGAATAGAAATTAAAACAAATCCCATTAATGACTTTTCCTACTTAATGAAGAATGGGAGGTGGGAGAGATGATGACTGTTCTCCTTTGCTGAGAGCAGACAGGAAGAATGGGCAGGGATGACTCTACAAACCTCAAAAGTGGTTGTCATTGTGGGCTTATAGGACACGTGGTTGGCCCTTCTCAGCTCCTTGATGGTCTCGGCTGGCATGGATTTAGAAAACCCAAGGCCGCTCCAGGTGTTTGTAGGTGTTCTGACCTCCGTCACCACCGGTTTCTTTAACATAGCTTTGGAACACAGAATGACAACAAAATGCTTGATATTTTTAATATATTTTTTAAAATATTGACGCGTGCCGTTCCCTTGATATATGTAAAGAAATCATACCTGAACATTATTTAATACAAAATGACTTAAAATATCATCGTAAAATATTTTATGCCATTCTATTTTAAAATGCTACATTTCATAATTGATCTAATGCTAATCTACTCAATAAAGTACATTTAACCCCAACAAAACTTTTGCAACTTTGAACTTAAACATTTTTTTTTTTTATGACGGTCCAATTTCACAATTCAACGTGAATACTGGAGAATCTTTTATGGGTCTTTGATGGGGGAGGGGAGAATCAAAATCATTACTATATCACATACCTTTGGTTGCTAATAGCTTCTTTTGTTCATAGTCAAATGCCTGAAAATAAAACAGAGCGAAAATATTTTATTGCCAGTTTATCCAAATGTCATGCTGATTAGAAAACCAAGGTTTTGACTAGAGGCCATGAATCTACCTGCTAAGCACCATAATGTCTCATTAATTCAGTGCAAGTCTGATCAATTTAAACATGTTTTCAAATCTAATTAATTAGACTATAAATGACTACTTTTGACTTTAAGTTGAGACAATGACAAGAGCCAGAAATCTTCCTTCAAAAGCAAAAAAAATCCTATTTTCTATGAATATTTAAAACACCAGGATAAGTATATGCTAAAGCACAGTAAATAACTTCATAGTAGTTCTGCTAAGTTTCAAAATAAAGCATTATGAAAATGCTTTCAGGTTATCTACCGGCCTCATTTGTTTCTCAAAATCCCCTCTTCAAAGGATGGCTTGAAGTGGTGTAATGTCCAGACAGCTTAAGAAATTATTTAGCCTAATTGGAATGGTCTTTGCTTTTGAAAAGGAGAAAAATAGCAAATGGCGAGCTTTAAGCTATAATAACAGTAAGCATTACAATAAACTAAACCTAGTTACCTTGCATTGCATAGGAGTAGGATGGCACTATCCACTCTTTCATTCACACTGAATAAGTGACATATGACACAGTCAGGTCTACACAGAAACCAAGGTACGTCGTTTGGAAGACAGTGGTCTAGACAGAGCGACATCTCACATGCTAACCCAGTGTTCCCAACTGCCCAGCTGAGGAACTGAGACTTGATTAACAATGTCTGAAAGGCTACCAGGAGGCAGAGAAACAGCTGGCAAGAGCTCTTCTAACCCTTTTCCCAGGGGACCACACCACCATATGTAGGCTGCACGCCCAGGTAATCTACAGTGTGAAACAGGAGACTTCTGAGCGGGAATGTGCCACAAATAATACTTAGGTCAGGATAACACAAGGAAACGGGCTGCCCCTGACAAACCAGGACGTGTGGTGAGCTCTGAGAACGCGGCAGTAAATCAGGAGAGTGGATTTTTAGAGAACACATTTGACGATGGTTTTGAAACGTTAGATCTGAAATGGCAATGGAAATTAAAATCAACTTTTAATGATCAACATCTAAGGGCAAGGTGTGGGAAGATCCTACATTCACTTGTTCAATAAATATGTATGGAGTGCCTCAGGTTAAAGAGACTGTGCGGCACTTTGTGGAAGAAAACCACCATTAATAGAAAATGAAAAAGAAAACCTATAGCCTCAGAGCACGGAGAGCCTCAGCAGGGATGGGTAAAGGAAATAACTACAAAATAAACTAGGAAGGGAGATAAGTGTGGAGAGAGCTGGGGATTCAGCTCTCCAAGGACCGCCGGAGACAGAGAGTTCTCGGCTGGGGGAATCAGGGAGTCTTCACTCTTTCTCCCCATCAATGCTAGATGACTACTGTCATTGATTTCTTATGGTTTTAAAAGTTAGCTCTGTAGTAATGGCACAAAAACATCTATTTAAGTTGAAACTGTATCACCAAGAACATTTCTTATCCATCCTAAAAGAAAGAAACACGGAAGTGGTTCACTCTAGTTATAAAATGGTTGGAAAGAAAGAACCACGGGACTGACGAAAACCATACAGGGATCATGAGGCGGATTTGATACATCTTTGAGGAGGGAATTTTAATTTATATTAACTGAAAATAAGCCCACTAGAGAAAATGTATCAGGTATCATTTTTAAAAAAACTTTGACACTTTATAAAGGCCATGGCTTTGTGAAAACATTCATCTAAAATCTCATGGAAATGTTCAAATGCAAAGGATTAAAAGAACAGATAAGCGGGATTGAGTTGTAGTTTTTGCTGGAATTATAGAAGTATAATTTAGTTCCACGAATTAATCTCTTTATATATCTGTGACAGTTTGGTTTCTAGGATTTTTTTTTTTTTTTGGCGTTGGGGAGTGGGGTGATATATCTCTTATTATGAAGTAGGTAAGTCTACCCAATAATTATGGTACTGAAATCAAATGGTTATAGGAATCTCTAAAAGCACAAAATCCCTATCTTTCATATTGTCATCTATACAGAAATCAGATTTCTGAACTTCATGTTCAATAGTCTACTTTGAGTAGTTAGCCTACTACAGATATAGAGAAAAATCCCTGAGGAAATTGTTTAAAATAATCATAAAAATTTGTGAATCAATATAATCATCAATAATATCATCTATTTTCAAAAAACTAAAGCTTCATATTAGCTATTTTTATAACTGCCTAAATGACACCAAATTTATCACCTCCATTTTTTAGATAGAAGGATTATTATATCTATTTATTCAAGACTATGTCAAGAGGCAGTAATATTTAGAAATAACAGCTTTGGTATTTATCTAAAATTTTATAAAACAACAGGTGAATAGTTTCATTTACATTACACATAGTGACACAGACCATTCACATTACCTTTCATATTATATTTTAAACCAGAGGCCTGGTGCACAAAATTCGTGCACTTGGGGAGTCCCTCAGGCCAGCCTGCGCCCTCTCTCAGTCTGGGAGCCCTTGAGGGATGTTCTACTGCCAGCTTAGGCCCACTCTCTGTGGGGAGTGGGCCTAAACTGGCAGTTGGATATCCTTAGTACTGCCATGGAGGTGGGAGTCTCCCACCACCACTGCTGCACTCGCCAGCCATGAGCCCAGCTCAGGGCTCTGGCTGAGCAGTGCTCCCCCTGTGGGAACACACTGATCACCAGGGGGCAGTTCCTGCATTGAACATCTGCCTCCTGGTGGTCAATGCGCATCATAGCGATCCATCATTCCGCTGTTCGGTCAATTTGCATATTAGCCTTTCGTTATATAGGATAACTTAACCATTTAAGCTAAATCCTGCATTTCATGTTTAAAGTTTATAGCAAAACCAATTCCTAACTACTGCACATAGATTTAAATTTAATTTGGACTAGAGTACAGAAAGAAAACCTAGTTTCTGAATTTGCCATTCTCTATCCCCAGCCCCTACATTTGGATGACCCTCCCACTCATTTGATTGTTACCTGCATGTTGGCATATGACGGCCTGGAGGCCAGGCGGGCCCTTTCAGAGTTCTGCTGGGCGGCTGCGGCCCTCTCTGCAGCTCGCTCGCTCCCTGGAGCCTTCTTGTCAGCCAGAGGGCTCTCTGCAGTGCTCAGTTCTGGGTCTGAGAGCAGCCGGTCAGTGCTGCTGTGAAACAGAGTCTGGACTTTAACATCCACCATCACACACACAAATGCACCAAATGTTTCCTCTGTGCCACACTTACTGTATGCTAGCCACTGCCAATTATTTACACGGATCATCTCATTTAATCCTCACAACACCACTATGAGACAGGCAGTATTATTATTTCCATTTTACGGAAGAGGGAAGCCCAAGGTCATACCTCCGGTAAATGGTAGAGCTGGAGTTTGAACTCAGGCATTCTGATTCTAAGAGCTGGACCTAAAACTATTCCATGATATATATTCTAACATTTTCTGTATATAGTATATATGTCATAATGTTAATTGGAGATATCAATGACCCCTGGGTACATGATCTAAACAGGATTGAGTTGATCTGAAAGCATGCAGCCCGCCATATCCCTGGGTCCCACATCCACAGGTTTAACAGACTACAGACTGAAAAAACTATTTTCCACACACGGTTGGGAATCTGAAGGTGCAAAGGGCTGACTGTATGCTTGTCCTATGCTATTTAGTATAAAGACTTGGACATATGTGGATTTTGGAATCAATCCCCCATAGGTACCAAGGGACAACTGTAGTTAAGTTTTGGGGGAGTCAAAGTTAGGCACGGATTTTTGACAGCACAGGGGTTAGTGGCCCCTAACCCACGCATGTTCAAGGGTCAGCTATATAATAAAACTAATAAGACAGTAGGGGAAATTGGGAAAATGGAGACGGATAGAAGCAAAACCTTCCAATACAGAAGCATTCCATTGTTTTTCTTTTAAAAAAACACAGGCTGCCTATTTGAAACAAGAAAAGAAACGAAAAATAAAATAAGGAACACCCATTTGTAACTGTCCTATCGTACAGGAGAGTTATATTTAGTACAATATATGTATTCACATTCACTGTGATTTGTAATAAATGAAATCATGATACTGTCAAGTATTTATTACCAAAGTGAGCAGTTAACCACTTCAGAACAAGGGAGCCATGGTTTCAGTTAGAAATTCAAAGGCAAATGAAAGAGAATTCACACCAGGGAAGTATCTAAAAGCAATCATCAGAGAGTAAAAATCACCCTGAAAGTTTCAGAGCAACAGAGAAAGTTCAGAGGACCCAGATATACACCCAAGGTTTATGACGAGAAGCACTCTAGGTAGAATATAAGGGTGAGAATTACCAGGTATTATGTCTTAATAACATTTTTATCCACAAAAATATCACTAAGATTGAAATGGAATACTACTCTGCCATAAAAAAGATGAAATTCTGCCGTTTGTGACAAGGATGGGCCTCGAGGGTATTATGCTAAGTGAAAAAAATACACACAAAAAACTCAACAAAGAAAACATATTCCTAGAGGCAGACAACAGATCTATGGTTACCAGAGCGGAAGTTGAGTGGAAAGGGGCAGCCTGGGTAAGGGGGTCAACTGTATGGTGACGGATGGAAAATGGACTTTTGGTTGTGAGCATGATGTAGTATATACAGATGTCCAATTATAATGTTGCATACCTGAAAGTCATATGATGTTATAAACCAACGTTACTTCAATGAAAAAAAAATGTTTTAAAGGAAAAAGAAAAGGTAATTATAAAGAGAAATGAATGAACTCCTGGATGAGACCAAACTTGCTGAAATCAAGGAGCACTCACTGCCCAACAAACCCAGTGCTGTTCCCCTGACTGAAAACCTATCCAGCTCGCGCTACAACCTCCTTCCAAGCACCGGGGCCTCCCCGATGAAAACACCTACTGTAAGTGGGAGTTCTTCGTGCCGCGCAAGAGCTCCACCGTCTGCCTCTTGGCACAGGAAACCGTGGTGGGACCCATCATCTGCTTCAAGTCGCCCGCGTTCCCCGAGTGGGAAGGACTCCGCGGCATGCCTACTTCCACAAAAGCATCGTTACCGCCTGCAGAGGAGGAAACACAACACCCAAAACACGAGTTCACCATCAGCAATCCCCTGCAATGGAAACAAACCAGAATCCAGCTCCAGGGAGACACAGACATAGCAGCTTTCAGCTGCAGAGACGACGCCTGAAGTTCAGGCTGCCTCAAAAACTCAAGATGAAATGTGAAGAAATGACCCTCATATTTTTAAAGTTAGGGATGAAAGGATTAAAAAAAGGTCCACTCTACTTAGAAAAAAATTACACACACACACACACACACTTAGTAAGTTGATGCTTTCCTGCTACATAATTACAGTCACTTTCATTTAGGAAGTTCCAGTGTCATGGGAAAGTGATTCTTTCTGTAAGAAGTTTGTCTGCTTTTCAGTTTATCTTTCACCATGTCCTTTGGAATTTCATTCAGGATGTTGTCTTTCTGCAAACTTCGGGCAGGATTAGTCATAACTGATTAGCAAAACCAATTTGAAATCACTGCGTGGACTTTCTACAACCCCCTTTGTCCAAGGAACAGGCCCGCCGAAGTCCAGAGGAAAGATACCTTCGGCAGGATTTGGTTTGGGAGACACCTGCTCCGATCCACTTGTCTGTCTGGACGGGTCACCATGATTCGCACTCAGCACTTTCTCTCCAAGCGATGAAGTGGATATTACACCATATTTTATGTTCGGAGGCTGAAATAACAATAGAAAATAGCATGTGGATGTGGTCACCATTCTAAAATTCACTTCCACTGAAAGTTTTACTAGTGGCTTATCTCTTACCAACAGCACAGATTACCACCACCCTGAGGGACATTACCTGCGCGTGTCCATTTAAAGCAGCAGAGATTTTTTTGCCTTCTGTCTGCATACTGCTGATGTGCACATCGACAGGAGTCAAGCCGGGAGGGGGGGAGGGGGCTGTGTGCCCATAGGCGGGCACTCCAGACAACAGGATATTGGTTAACGTGGCTTGGGCGGTAGATGGAATCATAAGGTGTGGTACGGCAGAAAAGCCTAGAACAACATTTTATGAAGACAGATATGAGACAGAAAGAACACAGAACCAACAAGCATTATATTATTTTCAGTAACTTCAAAAAACTTAACTGTTGCTGCAAATTCAGAAGGGAATTCAATGTTGATCTCTCTCTCTGCAAACAGGTTTAGCATTACTACACAAAAGAATATTAAAATGGAATAACTCTCTAGGGAATATTTAACCCAAGCTCCTCACGGTACAGACGAAGAAACAAGCTGGACTTCATGTGTGTATATACCTACTGAGCAATTCTAATCTCTCCAGCTGGAACCTATCTTTCGAGAGATCAGTCAGCGACCTTCATATGACTTTGCCACTGCTCCCTGTGCGTTATGCTCCTTTTCCTGATCTGCTAGTCACTTTCGAAGGTTATGTTTTACTTTTATGGGAAAATCACTGTTTTGTCGTGCATCATTTTAACTAATTTACACATTAGGAAATTTCTGTTAGGCTAAAAAGTATGCTTTGAACCATGATTTCCCCCTAAGGACATGGAACCACTAGTACATTTTATTTAAAAACTGGTAATACCTACAAAGACATGCCTTTGATTGTACTTAAATGATACTGACCTGTGGCACTTGAAGTATTAGCAAGTGGGGGTGCCCACAACGTGGGGCTGGGGGTGCCAGAACTTGGACTTTGCAAAGGACTGACGGAGCTATTAAGCGCATTCAAGAGTGAGTTCGGGGTTGTCGAAGTGTTTAGAGATAAGGTGGTGGGGCCCAAGAGACCTGTGGTAAGTGAATGTACAGTCAATATGCATAAATTCAAGATTTTAAAATAACAGATGGCAGCAATATTGCCATTTGAAATGCACGCTGATATAATCTGATATTTTCTGAATATAAAACGTGAGTGATAGATTACCTTCTTTCAAATATTCCCATGAAATACAGCCTGATACCATTTCAACACAGGACCCAGCTTATCCACAAACAGATGCTGATCGGAAAATGGGAGACAGGTGTGTGCCCCAACCAGGAAGGCAGTGGGGGGGTCACTGAGCACCACCAGCTGCTTTGCGTTCACGTCACTAGCCAAGATGAACAACATTCTGCTCCAGCGGGAACCCGTTTTCATTTCCCCGCATAGCTCAGTTGTCATACGCGTTCAAACAAACGCTTCAAACCACGTACAATTAGCAGCGACTCAGGGGATGATTTCCCGCAGCAGAATGGCTCTGCCTGGCCCACTGTGGACAGGCTTCGCTACCTGCAACAGTGTTCACACTGTGTCAAAACACTGACACGACTCCTTCGCGCTCATCTCCATGCATGTGAATCTTTTCTCAGGAGAGAAAAAAAAATTTCCCCTTGTTTTTAAGATTTAATGCCTGATTTAGGTAATGAAATTTCCCTTTTGGCATCTAAAATAAAATGTGGATTTTTACACAAGTTTCCAGGAATACTTAAAGCATTAGGTGTTACAGGATAGGTGCAGCCATAAAAACATTTTAAAAATTGAGTAACTCTGAATGTCTGCTCACTTTTTTTCTCTCTCTAGTGCAGTAAGAACTCAGTGCCTGCTAAGCGATGAGACTGGCATTTCGAGGTGCATTGCTGTGTGGAAGGAACAGCTTTGGGAGACGATGGGCCCAGGGGAAAAAAAACCCTGCCTTTACCGTAATGGTGTTGAAGCAAGGCTACTGGTGTATTAATCATATTATTTAAATATGTTATATTTATTAAAGCAAGAATAGCTATTAGAAAAATTTAGACTGCTAAGAGTATGTTTTCGGTCTCAAATCAACACTGAATGGGTTTGCTAGGGTTAGTGCTTTAACTTTGCATATAAAGGTTACTGAGAAAATGTATATGAAGTAAAACTAGCCTGATTTAATGCAGCAACTAACTTCAGCCTGTAAGACGGGAGTCCATAATGAGGCAATAAATATCACCATAGCTATTAAAATGACTGGCTCTATTATCCTAAAAAACGGAAGCACCGAGATGACGATGTTCCTTCATCTTCCTATTTGCTGCCTTAGATGAGAATACAGGTCCATTTGTTGCCCTTGGTGGCCGCGCAGGCTCGATTTCCTTTGTGTCTGCACGAAGCAGGCCTAGCCACGGTGGGAAGAGGGGGGAGGGGGTCCGCCTGCTCTCCCCTCCCCCTCTGCACACCCCTCATACAGATTTGCAATTACTTTTGGAAAGGCAAACTGGATCATCTTTATCTCCAGGGACTGGTGGCAATATTGCAAATACGAGGGAGAGCAAACACATAAATTACAGTCAGCCTGCTGACTTCACTCGCAATGGCATTCTTAATTTAGAAGAACAAACACAGCCAAAAATGAACGTCAGACGTTGATTATTGATGCCAAAATAAGAAGAATCGGGGGAACAAATCCACGGAGTCTTACAATAAAAAACAACAAAAAGCCAACAACAAAATGGATTGATTCGAGTTCTGCTGCTTTTCACCTGACCATCGGGCCTGACGAGGGAGAAACATCCCCTTTAAGATGTAGCCCCTGCGGCAGAGAGGAAGGGAACTGGGTAAGCAACTGAGAAGTGCTTTAGTAATGAACACTATACCTAGTCCAGTGAGTCCGAGGCCTGCCGAGGCTAAGATATCCAGGCTGGGACAGGCCAGGCCGGCGGGGCACGATGCTGGGGACGGACTGGTTGCTATGGTAACCCCACTGCTTTCAAGTCCGAGGAGACATTTTCTTGCTTCATACATATTTAAGGCATTTCGTTCAACACTTTTCACAATCACAGACTATGGAAACACATAATGGGAAAGAAAAAAGTGACATGCAAGTCGTCTACAATGAATTGGGGAGGTGGGTGGGAAATGAAAACCGTAATAAGAATTCCACTTGGGAAATTCGTTAATGCTGCTTTAAAAGCCAATGGCAAATTCTAAGCACTTATCACCTTTCCTCCTTTTGGTAAAAACCTAACACGTGAGTTGCTATTTATTGGGTGTGTCCTGTGTTCTAAGCCGTGTGATGGAAGCCGCACATATATTCCAGTTCCCACCAAAACCTTATGATGGCGTGGAAATTACTGCTCAGAGTCAGTGAGGACAGGACTCACCCAACGTCACAGCACAGCTGTGCAGGGCAACCAGAGGACTGGAACGCAGGCCCCTCTCTGGAGCCCGTTCTCTTTCACATCCTCTTGTCTCTGTTAAAGCTTCCCAACCCCCTTACTTATTTTTACAAAACAAATCAAACTTGTCTCCCTACAGTATATGTACAGCTTAATAATAGTCACTTACATTTGACATTTATGGTCTACTAGTTAACTAATAGACCGTGAGGTGCCACTATTCCTCACTGATGACATATCTATGGCAAAGCTCATACTAAAATAAACTCCTAAACAATAAATCTTTTTTCTCAATGGACTCATCTAGAAAATTGGAAATGTGAAACCAAGGGGGAAAAGCCTCCAATGAACAACAAAGGAAACTGGCGGCTGAGAAAGCAGAGCAGGAGGGAGCAGGGGGCCAGGAGGCATAATTAAATGGCCCTGGGATGCTGCCACAGTGTATTTCCCCGGACTTCCACTCACTTCTTCCTGGACCCCAGAAATTCTTGTGTCTGTCCATCTTATGTGCATAAGTCCTCAAAAGTCTCCTCTCTCTCTCTCAGTCCTGTCATCCACAGAAACTCAATTAGCCAGGCATGCATGAAGTGTCACAATACATAAAATTAGGGTCCTGTTCTCTCACATTAAACGCATTATAGCAAGTTCACCAGAATCAATGCTATCTTTCCATTTACAGTTTTCTTTTGAAGAAAGAGAACTGGACACTGAATACCACATCATTTACAGATACACAAAACTGTATTTAATATATATTATACATATACTATTATGAGTATATGATAAGACTTATAGTTTAGAAATTTAAACATAGAAGACGTGACTGGTGTTTCACCTGCTATAAAAGATGTACATTAAATGTTACCATTGAGTACATGTCATTATGCAACTTGCTTTTCTTTATTCAACACCATTCTTATCCTTCAATTTCTGGTACAAAGGTTCTTCAGAGTGTATAACTAGAAGCAGAGTTGCTGGGGGTAGGGCCGCAGTGTTTTCAGTGTGATCGGATGGTCTCAAAATTGCTCTTCAAAGTGACTGTGCCTATTTGCACAATATTAACACATTGCGGACACATCACGAGAATTCTCGCTTTGTATTACACAGTGTTTTACAAAGTATACTTTAAAAATATATTAGCTTGTAAGAACATGTATTAAATAACTTCAAAATGCAATGGGTATTTAATTTTAAAGCGTGCCTTTAACATTTATGTAAAACGTTTTTTGTACTCGTTCAATAGAAACTTATCTGCCCACTGGGCAAAGCTAGCAATGAAACTACTGGTCCGCACTGTGTTAATAGAGAAACATGTCTGCTTCCTGACTTTCTACTAGCATTCAATATCATCGGAGTTATCCCATTAACTTGTTACTGTGCATGTAATTATTGAAATTGTGCAACATCTTAAGGGAGAGGTTCCAAGAAGGCTGAACTGGGTATAATTCATTCCTAAAAATATGTTATTATTAAAGAGAATGGGGCACCTATTCTTTAAATCTCCAGGGCTAGTACAGTGACTCACAAATAGTAAGCAAGCTAAATATTTTTTGTAATTGTATTGAGACGTGCAATTAACATAATATTTAGCTACAGCAACTATCTAGACGCTTAGTAATATTTAAAGTTACCAGCCTGCAAGTTAATTTAAAATGGTTTTCTCTTTCCTTCTCATATATTTATAGAAAAATAATGGTCACTAAAAATGGACTCCAAAAACCAACACACATATAAAGAAAATGGTGATCAATAATGAATGTTGTTACAAATTTATATTTATATAAAATACCTAAATATAATATATAATGACATATATAGAATATTTAGTTCCATAAATATGCAAATGCATACTTATATGCAAATAAAACAGAACGTGATATGACACATAGTTCTCTGGATCCAGACTCTAAACCAACCTTGCTCGGCTGTTTTGGTTTCGGTTTAATACTAACGAAGACATCCAGCTGTTCCATCAACTGAGCAATAAACTGTGGGTCAACTTCAATTTCTTCCTTCATATCAAACATCAACACAAGAGGAAGACAACCCTAGGAAAAGTCACAATAGAAAGTGTAGGAGGTTAAGAAGTTACTCATTTAAACATCAAATAATTTAGCATGCCTACAAACAATGCAGTATTTTACAGATCTAACAAGTAAAATGGGAGAAAAAGGTGAAGAGATTAAGAAAATCAAAACAACAACAAAAACCCTCATAGACACAGACAACAGTATGATGGTTACCGGAGGGAAATGGGGGTGGTGGTGGGAGGTAGAAGAGGGTAAAGGGGGGCAAATGGTGATGGACGGAGACTTGATTTGGGGTGGTGAACACCCAATACAGTATACAGATGATGTATTCTAGAATTGTACACCTGAAACCTGTAAAAAGATAAAAGAGTAAACCAAAGTAGTAAAGCTAAATCAGATACCTTCACATAGCTTGGAGGACTGGGGGAAAATAATGTTGAATGGCAAAAACTATTTTCTGGGTGACAAAATTGTATGTGTCGTAAGTGTCTGTTTTTGGCCCTGAATTTTCATTCATTCTCCACCTGGGAAATTTCCTCCATTCTCTGGATACAGTGCGTCAATGATGCCAGAAACTGGACTCTCAGCCCTATCGAGGGTACTCGCCTTGTGCCCGCGCTCAAAGACGGACAGTGCTGGCTCTTCACGGTCTCCTGAATGAAGTCTAAACAAGCGTCAGCATCTAAGATCTCCAGCTGTGGCCTGGCTGTGTTTGTGCAATCGCAGGTCTGTGTCTGCATGCCTGCCCCTTCCTCCAGGCTGGCCCAGGCCATCTTTTAAACTGTACGCTGGCCTCTCCGCTCATCAGAAGGCTTCTTCACCATCCCAAGGTCTACTCCTCTTCGGATGCAGCTCAAACCTTCCCTCCTCTCTCAAGTTCACAGCCACTACTGCCCCTTCTTTGAACTACCTCCCTTTGAGCACTGCAGGGTTTGGTACTTGTTCTTCTCTCTGATGCTCTCTTCCTGGCCCCTAGTCCCTATCACAGGAAAAATGTCACACACATTTTCTGATGCACAGGATACTCGGTGCTAGCCTAATGAGTGACGTGTTTTGTACATAAGAATCAGGAGAAGGTATCATGAGCCATACTAGAATTAACATGGAACTACTATGTTTCATTTCTCTCATGGGTAGAAGTGATTTTTGTAAGGACATGGCTATAAAGAAAAGGTTATGGTATTTGAAATACAGGTTAAGTCCTTTTAATGTATCTCCCTCCCTTCTTTTAATATTATGCAATAAGATGTCTCATTGCATGCCTATATTTTTGGCAGGTATGGCCAAAGTATGAATGTAAGTTCATAACTGTGCAGAATGTTTGAAAAAGTTTACTGAACTCAAAGTACTACCTAAAGAATCTGAAAAGCAGACAAAAATATGAAGAATAAGCATAATAATCTCTGGAGAATATGCTGTGTAATTAGTAGTGTACTCAAAAGAGCCTGATTAAACTAATTTGGGCTAAAAATATCATTCACAACAAAATAAAGTTCAAAAAATTATGTATTATAATCCTTAATGATAATAACAACTTCTCATCTGTCAGAGAAATAAAGTCAACCAGACAAAACGAGATTTTCTAAAAGTTTCTCACAAACGAAGTCTGAAAATTAATGATAGCAAAGGCCATTCCTGAAGCTACTGATTCAAATGTCACTGAAGGTCAACTGCTAACAGAAGAATACAACGGTGTTTTTAATAAAAATATGAGTCCACATTATGTCAGTCCATTTAGGAACTATACATCAATCTACACACGGGTTTTTTAAATGAATATAGGGCAGAATTAGAAGCAATACTGAGTTCTATAACTGCTATTTTTCTTCAATGTATGACACTCAAATGCATTCTGGCTCAAACAGAATTTTTTAAAATTATATCAGAGATTGTGAAATGTTCAAATGTTTCATGCTACCAAAATCTATGTCTTTGAGCATAATGTTTAAAATGTATTTTTATTCTTCTGTTTAAATAGAAGACTTTGTCAGATGAAAACTGCAAACTGCTATCTGTGGTATGAAAATAATCACCCTCCACAAAATAGTTATTTCACTTTGAACCTCTTCTGTGTTTAGTCTAAGTTTTAAAAAAGAAAAGTCCTACAACAAAATCACTAATGTAACGAAACTCAGCCTGTGAGGCACCACCGACCTTACTCCTTTATCTCCTTTTACCAAAAAGCTTTCTTCCTTGACCTGGCTTCCAAAGTGCTTTCACAAATACCGCACAAGGTGTGTCAACAGTATACGCTGTACCCAAAGAGGTAAAAAATAAAGAAAAAGTAACCTGGATTTCACTAAACCTACCATGAGATATTGCCTTGCAAGACAGACAGACTCAATGGTGCCCTGGAGGTAGACGGTGGATTTCTTTTGTGGATTACTGGGGTCGGGAAAGTGGATCTGAGCACCCGTTCTCTGCATGATATGTTTGATGTTGCTTCCATTTCGACCCATCATGAAGAGATGATGCTGAGCTGCGATATCGAGCTGAGTGCTCACGGGAATAGCAGACGCCAAGCTCCCGGCAAGATGTTCCAACAGCATGGCAGTTCCTTCCTAGGGGAAAAGGTGGGACAGAAATATTCGTGTAAATGACTTTCCACATACAGGGAGAGTCTAGTGCACTTCTTTTTGTTGTTGATTTTTTTTTCTTTATTAAGTTATTACATATGTGTCCTTATCGCCCCCTTGCCCCCCACATCCCCCCCTCCCACTCATGCCCTCACCCCGCTGGTGTCTGTGTCCATTGGTTAGGCTTATATGCATGCATACAAGTCCTTTGGACGCTTCACGAATTTGTGTGTCATCCTTGCACAGAGGCCATGCTAATCTTCTCTGTATTGTTCCAATTTTAGTATATGTGCTGCCGAAGCGAGCACACTTCTTTCTTTTTTAAATTCTCTCTCTCTCTTTTTTTTTTTTTTTAGAGAAAGGGAGATTGATATGAGAGTGAAACCTCCTGCACACCCCCTACCAGGATCACGCCCACAACCCGGGCATGTGCCCTGACCAGGAATCGAACTGGCACCTTTCAGTGCCTGGGACGACACCCAACCAACTGAGCCACAGTGGCCAAGCTCTAGTCACTTCTAACAGCTATGGAAAAATATAACACATATAGACCAGAATGTAATACAAAAGAAAATTCTAGAAAACAAACCAGTCTAAAATCCTTCAAAAATAAAACTTGAGCCTGGCTGGCATGGCTCAGCGGCTGGGTGTTGAACTAAGAACCAGGAGGTCACAGTTGGATTCCCGGTCAGAGCACATGCCCGGGTTGTGGGCTCAATTCCCAGAGTCGGGCATGTGGGAGGCAGCCGGTGAATGATTTTCTCTCATCACTGATGTTTCCCCCTCTCTCTCCCCAATCCCCTTCCCTTCTGAAATCAATAAAAATATATTAAGCAAATAAATAAAACTTGAATAGTTTGTTCATGTATGATGTTCGGAATTCGCTCAGTCACTTACCTTCACAGCGCTAGTGTTATTCTGAGACCCTCGGACTATGACAGTAGCACCATACATTCGGGAGCGCTGTTTAAAGGACACTGAAATGTTGTATGTTTGTGATATGTGCTGGATGGAGGGGGAATTAGGATCGGGAACCGGCTGAAGAATTCCAGCAATCGGCAGCTCGAACATCAGCACCAAAGGAAGCAGCTCCTACAATGAAATTGTGAGAACCCAAAGCAGATAAATTATCAGACACATTTAGAAATATGTCTCATTCATTCATCCTTTCCTGAAGATGGAATTTGAAACACATATTCTTTTATTATAGATGTAAACTTGGGTAGGATATATAAAGTTCCTTAAATGACAGGAGCCTTTTATGAAACCTGAAATTTTTTGTAACTTGAACTGCCTGTGGCATTTCCCTCGGGATTCTGATTTCAAAATCATTAGAGAAAAACTAAGTCAGGTAAAATCCAGAATGTTTCAAAGAAACTTTCTGTAATAGATGAAACCAACTTTTCCACTATATCCCTCAGACTGAGCGCATGATTTCATCATAAATTGATACATAATATTTTTAATCCTCTATAATGAAAACGTTGCTGACAGTGATTTATGGTATGAAAGTAACAGTTACCCGAATTCTCACTCGGGCAGACTCAACTCCTGCTGGCTGTCCTGCTATGGAAACCTGCAAAGATAAGGATATACAGAGTCAGATTTAATTTAATTGAGCCGGCGCCTGCTCTTCCGGTTACCGACATCCTTGCTACTCAAAGTGTCCTCCAGGAAACCCCACATCAGCGTTATCTGGGAGCTTGTTAAAAATGAAGGAACTCCAGCACCAATGCAGACCTGCTTAATCACAATTTGCATTTTAATGATCTGCTCAGGTAATGCGTGTTACCTGATCTCTATCACCCCCTGGGTTTACCTGACACCTCACAGCCCCCATGAGGCCTTCCTGCCTCCTTCATAATTCCTCTCATTCCCTGCATTTTCTCCCGTCTGTTTAAACTCCCTGCAGACTAGAGGAGTATCAATACGCAAGGAGGCAGCTGCTCTATGTTCTCAAGATGCTGAACTACTTCCGTGCTAGTTTGTTTTTAAAAAAAAATTGTTGCTCTAACACCCACCTCTGGCCCTCTCTCGGGATCCTCTAGACAGCGGTTCTCAACCTGTGGGTCGCGACCCCTTTGGGGGTCGAATGACCCTTTCACAGGGTTCGCCTAAGACCATCGGAAAACACATATATAATTACATATTGTTTTTGCGATTAATCACTATGCTTTAATTATGTTCAATTTGTAACAATGAAATTGGGGGTCACCACAACATGAGGAACTGTATTAAAGGGTCATGGCATTAAGAAGGTTGAGAACCACTGCTCTAGACGTTCCCAGGATCCACCCACTAAAGAATTACTCTTGTTATTAGGGTCAGAGTGGGGGACCCAGGATACTGCTCTCAGGATGCATACTTATGCCATACTTGCTTCAAATATTTTGAAAACTGCCCTTGCTTTTTATCATGGCTTACAATCCAGTTCCTTATGTATGTCATTCAACATCATATTAGTCTCCATTTATTCATCTTTGTGGCTGACACAGTCTCTAGTGTTGTGATTAGCAAAGAGAGAAAACTTCTATATTACACCAGGAGCCAGACAGTCGACTGATCAACCAGTCGCTATCATGTGGACTGATCACCAGGGGGCAGACGCTCCAATCGGTAGATTAGCTTGCTGCTGGGGACCGGCCAATCAATCAGGACTGAGTGAGATGGATTGGACATGCCCTGGAGCCCTCCTGCGGTCCCTCCCCAGCTGGCCCTGATTGGGACTGGGTGAGACAGGGCCAGACATGCCCTCCTATGATCCCTTGTGCACTAGTGGGGTCCCTCAGCCTGGCCTGCGCCCTCTCACAATCTGGGACCCCTGGGGGATGTCGGAGAGCTGGTTTCAGCCTGATCCCGCAGGTCACTCCCCTCGGGGCAGCACCAGACACAGGGCTGACAGCTGGCAAGTGCTGCTATGGCAGCGCGAGCCTCTCCCTATCGGGACTGATTGGGCACGAGCCGGTGGCAGGCACAGTGGGGCCAGGATGAGCGGGAGTGGCAGGCAGGAGCTGAAGGCATCGTTGGACTACGAGTTTCAGCCCGATCCCTGCAGGCCACCCAGAGGGGCCCCACCCATGCATGAATTTGTGCACCAGGCCTCTAATGTTGTAATAATTGTGTACGATGTCAGATGGGTACTAGATTTATCGGGGTGATCACTTTGTAAGTTGCACCAATGTCTAATCATTGGCTTGTACACTTGAAACTAATATAATAGTGTATGTCAACTGTAATTTAAAATATTTTCTTTAGAAGAGAAAGGCATAATTATGTTTGTAGCCTGGAGGACCATGGGAGGGATGCTGCAGACAGAATCCCAGCATGGATGGGTGCCTGGGTGAGGCATGCCTTAGATCCTTTCCCAATTCACATCTCTCTGGGCCCTTCCTTAAGGGCTTTATTGTATGTTGCCATCATTCCCTCCCCTGTCTCTTCTACCAACCATTCAGAGAGCAAGAGTTTAAGGCCTACCTATAACTCATCCCTCCAAAAAAGCAAAGCCCTTTCCATGTCCTTGCACAGGGTCATACAATCTATACTACATGCCATCTCCACGATTATTTTTTTTTGCTCTCATCTCCCAAAAAAGATATGCATATGGAAAACTGAGGCTGTAAAATTTGTTACATAAAAATTCATGAGAAAGACAAAGCACCTGGTTGCTTTTTTCTGCTTGGTTATTCCTGTTGGAATCTGGAAAGTGGATGTGGCATCCTGTTTCTTCCATCACCTTTTTAATGTTGTTGCCACCTTTGCCGATTACATGGGAATGTTCTGTATGCGAGACGTCCATCTTCAAGGTGACCCGATTGCTCTATGTGGAAATAATGTATTATTTCCTGATGCGTGAAAAAGGAACAACTTCCTAAAACATCCCTCCTCTCAAGGGAATAATTTTAATAAAAAGTGAGCCATGACAGAGCATACAGATTTCTTAACAAAATCATCTTAATCTGTAAATGTTTACTTTCTTTCTCTTTGGCTATAAAAAAGAAATTTGTATTTTAAGACAAATTTGTCAGAAGAAATAGAAAGATATACTCTTTACCAAGATAATCTTTTGGAAAGCAGCCTTTAAATAAAATCAGCTACAATTACAAATAACTTATTCTTTCATTAATAGACATTATTCATGAAATACTTAATTCATAAAACTAAAACCAGTTGAAAACACATTTACAAGACTGACTATATATACACATATATATTAATAGGACTATATTTATGCACACATATATAGGTTAGTAGGACTGCAGAACTAAGGCAATAGGAAACTAGAGATTAAAAATAAAAGTGATTTAAACTAAACAAAGAAGTATTTACAAGCATTTTCACGACTTCTATATTACTGTGTCAAACTTTACAAAGTAGACTTATTATTTTCTGCTGGGAATAAGGGTGAGGAAGAGACCACAAAGCCGCAAAATGATCTCTAACAGCAAAATGGCTTAAGTAAACAATACAAAGTATGAGATTAGTTATATTAAAGCAAAATGTAAAATTCTAAGACATAATAATTATGGTCTGGTTGATATTGATGTATTGAATTTTGGGAAATTTAGTGTTATAAAATTATAAAGACTGACATGAAATCTTTACTCATTTACAAGAATTTCCCTGAAATTCTTCAGTCCTTAGGAAGCAAAAGTTAAAAGTTAAAAATTTCAACAGTTTTACTTCTTCTCAATTCTTAAATTTTAAACATATCCATCCAATATTTTGGTTTTTAAAGTTAGTTCTTTTGGTTTAACCTTTGAAATACAGGAAGATATTCTTCTTTGGTGAAAATTCTAAAATCGCTAATAATTATAAGGTAAAAACTCTTTAAAGTAAAAACAAAACAAAAAAAAGAACAAGAAAAGAAAGAGGAAGAGATCAGAGACCATTTCAATAAAACAACAGGTGGTAAAATAGTGAATGGTTAAAAACCAGATTTAAATCCCACCTCCTTCCTCACTTATCAGCTCTTGGACCCTGGTTAAATTCCCTAATATCTCTTTGCTAAGTTATAAGAATTAAAAAAATTAGTATTTTTAAAGTGTTTATCAAGGTAAGTGATTTAAAGTGTTTATTAAAATTAAATACTCACACACGAGTGTACATTTTTAAATACTTAAATTTCCCTATTATCTGCGTACATATACTTTCAGAGAAAGAATGGACAAGATAAAGTGTCGATCTTATGCCATCACACACAGAGCTATACAGAAGATCATTTTGGTTTTCTACTGGCATATAAAGGCAAACATGCTAATTCTTACAACCATTACTTGTCCTATGAAAACCATATTTCTGAAGATGGCATATACATACTACATACATATGTACAAATATACATTTGCACACATACATATACATGTATAGATATAATATTATTCCATTACTCAGCCAGCAAGAGAGACTCTATTCAGATTTTAAACAGAACTTTACATCCACTGAAGAGTCACACGTGCTTATTTTAAAACCCACCATTACTTTCTCCTGGTTTTTCTTCTCCAAATGGTTCTTTCATAACAGCATGAAGCAGCCCTTGCAGAGACAAGGTTCTGACATCTGAGTGTCCTTAACATTCACTTACTTTTGTGTCTAACACAGACATGATCATTTCCTTGGCTTCCTTAACATCTTCTTTCTTTCCAGAAACCTTAATATGGGGATCTATAAGAAATAAAAAAAAAAAAGGCTCATGTGAAACCCCCAAGCTGTTTTAAAATTGATGTTACATTATATGAGATTCCACAAGATAATGTATGTATGTAGGTTTGAGGGTGTTTTCTAAGCAGCCCTTGCAGAGACAAGGTTCTGACATCTGAGTGTCCTTAACATTCACTTACTTTTGTGTCTAACACAGACATGATCATTTCCTTGGCTTCCTTAACATCTTCTTTCTTTCCAGAAACCTTAATATGGGGATCTATAAGAAATATAAAAAAAAAAAAGGCTCATGTGAAACCCCCAAGCTGTTTTAAAATTGATGTTACATTATATGAGATTCCATAATAAATTCAGTATTTGTCCATCTAAGGGTGTTGTCACTGTAATAAAGACAAGAATGTAAAAAAAATACCCAAATTGTGCATTCATCTATGGCTCTTTTCCTTCTTAAAACTGGTTAAACCATTTAACTTTAGACTTAATTGAAAAATAAGTATACCATATAATTATATTTTAAACAAACGGGCCTACCAACTCCATTTATTAACTGACCCCGTGCTACACTCCAGGCCGTTCTAATGCTTTAAGTGCATTAACTCATTTCATCTACACCAGAGCTTTCTCTGTGAGGTTGTTTACAGAGGAAACTACTGTTAATGGGGGGGAGAGGGATGGGGGATGACTTAATCTCCATTCAGGAATATTTAATATTTATTCAGAATCAGTAGAAAGTGACTAATATATGTTATACCTATTGTTTACTACTGCCATGGAATGTTATATTGGAAAGCATTCATTCATTCAGCATATATTTTCTGAACCTCTGTTCTGTACTAGGGCATTATTTTAGGGATGGAGATTTATCAAGGAAGAAAAACAACCTCTGTCCACATGAAGTTTACAGTCCTATGCAAGGAGACAAACATGAATCAAACGAACAAATTATCTAGTATATTAAAACATAACTGTTATGAGGGGGGAAAGACAAGAGGATCAGGAGTACATCTGTGGG